TATTTACTAGTGGATCAAGTCTGGATACTTCATAAGATTATCTAAAATCTCTAATCTATTCTTCAGGATCTTTTCCAGCTTTTTCATAAAATAGAGATGATGCATATTCTGCCATTCCTCTATAATAGTTATTTATAGATTGATTATTCTGAAGCACAAAAATTTATTGATTCAAATTTAAAATTAATTGCTGTAAATTATGCTCCCTATTTTTTCACTTGATATGACTTGCTTTTTGATTCTTGAATTTATTATAATATCTATTAAAGAGCTAATCATGATTATATTCTAATAATTCTTTATCATTCTGATATTGTTATAGCTTCCATTCTAAGTGATGAATAGATATCTTATAAATAATTTCAAGAGAATATCTAAGTTTAGATTGTTCTTCTAATGCTAAGGTAATATTATATCACAAATACTCTTACAAATTATATCTTTATTATAATTCTCTACCATATCTTTGACATTTCTGAAGTTTAAAATTTAATATAAATTTGTCAAGTAATAAAGTATTAATACATATTTACATTTTTCTTTTCAATTGTTGAGCTACTCTCCATCAGTAATATCATTTTACCTATTTATTATTATAAGCCATAGTCATTAAAGCAAGATTATTTTGAGAATTGTCATGCTCTAATATAAGTTAGTTAATATAATTTTGCAAGATATTTCATATTTAAATAAGTTGATTAGTTTGATTCTGAAGATTAGTATTTTGTTGTCTATAGTAATTAACATCCTGCTATAACTGAACTATCTGATTATTGCTGTCATTTCTTTGAGTGATAATACCATTTATATCCTAATATGCAGACTGATAATTATATCAAATAGTATTTAAGATGCCTCTAATATCTTTTATAATATTAATAGGATTATTTAATGATATATCATCTCTAAGATAATTTTCAATATGATACAAGTCTTATTTGATTTGTATAAAAAAATCAAGATTTACTATATCTATATCTTCCTTTTCTGAATTATATAAACTTGAAGAACTTCTTCAAGAAGAAATAACTTTGAATCTATATCTTAAATTTTGAACTCACTCTTCTGATTCTTGTAATTATTTCTCTATATTATCAATATAGAATATCTTATCTCAGATTTTCTTTTTAGCTTAATATAAACTTCTTTTAAGAGATGATATCTCTGATCTCAACTCTACTTTTTCTTCTTCTAAAGTATTTTCAAGCTATTCTAGCTTTTTATTGAAAGATTGAATTTTTTTCTTATATTTGATATATTTACGCTCTAGCTTATTTATATATTTTTCATTCAATTTATTAATGATTATCTCTGATTATAATATCTTCTGGAGTTCTTGATTAATTTGCTCTAGCTCGAGTTCTTTATCTGTAGCTAATCTATGAGTTATTTGATTAGAGAATCATGATCTACAAAATATTATATTATTTTTTATGATATATTATATTGACTTATCTCTGACTTTGCTAAATATAATTTTTACTATAATAAGTAATATCAAAAATAAGTAAATTGAGCAAGCCTATTATTAGAATTAATTCAGATAAGAAATTAAACTTAATCTGTAAATTGCTTTTTTACTAATCTACTGATTATTATTCTAATTTTCAAAAGTTGTATAATATTATCAAAGATAAAGAATATAATTTTCTATATAAAAAAGTTTGTGAATAGTTATATAATTAGAATGAATAGCAAAAGTATGCTTCATTACCAAAAGATACTTCATGGATTAGTTATGGTAAAATTTAAAAATCAAATTATATATATCAGTATGATTTCTTATTTCTTACACATGATTACTATAAAGATAAAAAATAGAAAGCAGTATTATAAATTATAGATGTGGGTAGTAGGTTTAAGACAAGTATTTTTTTAATATCAAAGAATAGTTCTGAAGTTGCTAAAGCATTTAAGAAAATTTATGATAATCCTAATAACTCTCTTATCTATTCTCAATTATTATAATGTGATGATGGGATGAGATTTAAAAAATTTGTAAGTCAGCTAATAGAAACATATAATGTCACAATTTGAGTAATTAGTACATATAGTTATCATGAATTAGCTCTTGTAGAACAATTCAATAAGATATTAGCAGAGATACTTTATAAAATCCAGTATGCTATTGAATCAATATTTAAAAATCCTAAATTAATAAGAGAGTAGATCAAGTATTTGCCAGAAGTAATAGATTATCTTAATAATTATCTGACACATCTCATTCAAGCTTCAGATTCATCAAAATAAGTTTAGCTCTAGCAAAAGCTATTAAACTAGAATGAATTGAATCTAGACTATCTATAAAATATAAGCATCCTATTGGAAAGGATGAGAAAAATAAGTTAAAAAAGAGAAATAGTGTTCATTACCTGCTTGCTAATGCAGAATAGAAAGAAGGTATGAAGAATCAGAAAAGAGTCACAGATCCAGTATGGAGTTTTTCATTACATAAAATTTAAAAAATTATTGTAATGAAGAATGAATTAGTTTTATATTATCTTAGAGATGATAATGATAAATATCCTTCAAAGTGTAAATTTGTATTTAAGAAATTAATACCAATTGATCTAGAAAAACTTCAATATCTATCCCAGAGTATATTAAAAAAAATACTAATTTCAGATCTAAAGATAGCTTCTCAACTGTTATAACGTGATAATAAATAAAGCATTACCTAGTTGTAACTAGTTGTAACTTATAAAATTTTGGAGTTATAATATGTTATAACAGGTAATAAATAAGTATCACATACTTGCTGTACTATCTTTATCCAGATTTGTTAATTTTATTTGTGTTATTAATAAAATGGCTAAGATTAAAGAGTATGCAAAGAAGCATGATGAATATTATATTATGAAAACTGGTCAAATAAATAATTTTGATATATATCTTTGATCTTGTGAAAATGAAAAATATCAATTTGAGTATCTATTAGAAGTTTTAAAATGAAAATTTGAGTGGTATCCACTTTGTCCATATTTTACTGATGAGAAACGCTGTAGATATATTTTTAAGGATCTGTTAGGTAAGAAATTTCCAGTTTGTAAATCATCATTTTTGAATAGGATGCAATTAGATGGATATAACAAAGAATTAAAATTGACATACAAATTCCAGGACTCTTAATATTTTTCTGAGAATCCAATATTCCATAAGTAAGACAAGATAAACTTAGATAATTAACAGACATGTGATCAAAAAAAGTGAGATGTATGTAAAAGAGAGGGTATAGATCTTATTGAAGTGCCTTATATATGTGATTTATATCAAAAGTGAATTGCTTAAAAAAGGATATTTGAAAAATACAGATATCAACAAATATAATAATTGATATTGTTTCATCAGCATGACTAAATAATATCATACTCTGAATCCAATTGTGATGGGATATTTGGATATCTTACTATTAGTGTCAATGGGATATCTTTGAATTTATATTGAAGATGCATTATGATTTTATTAGTAATGTCATGAGGAATATTTAACAAAACTTTTTCACACTCTTTTCGCATTACACATATTAATCACCCGATATGTATTAATCGACCTCCTTTACCATTATATCCAGTACGGAGCAAGAAATGAAAATCATCTAACACAATATCGGTTGTCATTCTTTGATCTGCAATAATTTTTTGGAATAGTCATTGATCTCTCTCTGTTTCCGGGAAACAAATCTCATCAGGTTTGAAACCTATAAATTCGGAAAGTTGTTCACGAAGTTCAGCCATTTTATATTCACTATGTAATATCCTTCAAGAACCAGGTCTTATAGAATAAAAGTAAAACTTTAAATGCTTATCTGGTTCGATTAATATTTTTTGATATAATAGATTAGTATTCTTAGTTTATTCGAATGAAAGAAGAAAAAATGCCCATATTTGTATATAATATCGACGAGATATCAAACAAATCCTCAGAATGAATGAAATCTAACAAATATGCCCCCGACTGGCCTTTTAGACTCCTCGTGACAGGTGGCTCCAATAGCGGAAAAACAAATATGGTTATTAATCTTATGCTGGGTAACAAATTACAACGAATGTTTAAAGGTAAGAAAGGAAATCGTTATGTCAAAAATGATGACCTCGTATTAATAGGCAAGCATTTTGAGCCTAAATGGCAACTTGTACAAAATAGCTTTCAGATCTTTGCGAATGCCCCCAAACCGTATCGAGAAGATGTCACATTTAAAAGGGTATCTCCAGATAAAATTCCAGATATAACCAAATTCTCACCAGATCGAAGTACAGTTGTTGTATTCGAGGATCTATGTGCCGAATCAAAGAAAATGCAAGAACGAATTATTCCTTACTTCATTAGTGGTCGGCACCAAAATATCTCGCCAATATATGTGTCACAGAAATATACACAAACACCTAAAATCATCCGCGAAAATCTGTGCCATCTTGCACTGTTTCGAGGAGCCGGGAGCCGAGATGACATTCATAGAATCGTGCGACAATATACGGATAATCCGAAAAAAGCGTCTAAGATTATTGATAAGCATTTGCGGGATCGAGAATTTGTGGTTTTTGATTTCACTAAGGCGGTAGACGATCCTTTAAGTGTACGTCTTGGTTGGGACCAACCACTTGATCTTTCCGCATAGGACATGATTTCAGTGATGCAAGGCATTTTTTATGCAAAATATCTTTGGTTTTAACCAAAGCGCGATATATAAGATTTACAAAAGTCTATTTCGGGGTGGGGACACAAAGTGTCTTTGCTCTGTGCAAATATATATCGGGCAATGTTGACTCGAGAAAATATATTTTTGGTATATGTAACTTAGAGGCTTCCGAAAATAAGCTACCTGCTTTAAATAACGCGTGGTGTACTGAGTAAACATGCTACCGCATCCGATTATCCGAAAAATTAACAAAGTATATGATAATTCAATCACCGGGGCCAGCTTTGTCTCTTTGGCACTAGCAATGTCGTATTAACTATCAAAATATTCCGGATTATCAATAGTGTTTCTAAAAATTTTGCTACTATAATAGCAATTCTTTATTATAATAAATTGGACTGATAAAACACGCTAGACTACTCACCATCACGACTAAATAACCCATTACATTATTACGACAGCTGTTCGTCTTCCCTTTCGTCTTCCTCTTTGTCTTCTTCTTGTAAGAGTGATTCACGAATTTTGACCAATGCTGTCAACACTGTCCGTCTGCCGTCCGGTTCAGCGAGATCGAAACCAGTCGTCAAACCATTCTCAGCTGGCCATCTTTGAACCTTAACTGACTCTTCTTTCGGTAGGCCGTTTGCAAGTTCCATCCAATACATTGCAGTAATCGTAGCTTTATAAAAGGTAACATATGTAGAGATTACACGAATAGCCCATATTGTCTGATCTCTAGGTGCTTCCCCAAGGGATCGTATATTCTCACTACCACAAGAAAGAATCTCCACAGCGATCTGTGATTCCCCAAAATCAGTAGCATACCCGACATTTTTCAGGTGTTTGTCCTGTTAAAAAAGTTGTTTGAGACGACGAAAATAATAATTTCTCAAACGATCAACAACATACAGATCTCTACCACAAGAACAACAATCTTTTGCCTTTGCACCACAAACTCGGGTTCTGAGGACACGCAGGGCTCGTCTTCAATATATAGTTTACATAGCGGGTGATTTCTGGATTTTAAAGAATGCAACTTAAAAACTACTATATTTACCAGAAACAAAAGTTACTCACCTGATCATCAAGGGAAAGTAATTCAGTTTAACGATACGGAGTAGATCATCCACAAGTGTGTCAGTAAAAGTCTCGGCTGTGCCTGTCACCTGAAAACCATTGAATACGACGTTATGCAATTTGGTAGCGAACGTTTGAACTTGAGGATCCGAGATGTGTTGAAATTCGCCGACATCAAACTCCGCATTTGAAAGGATTTTACGATTAATATGAGGGAGAATATAATTGTCCGCAAAGTTGGTGACTGAACAATATTTTAAATTGTAAGAATTAAGCTCGCTGAGAGGATTGCTGATACAATTTAGGTCTCACCTTCAACATCGGGTATAACAGCGTTCTCGCTTGAAGCTGGTTTGAAGCCCACTCTCAGTAGGTCAATATCTCGTAGTTTAAACTTGGATGCGGAGGGAGGGAGGTTGTAGATAGATGAGGAGGTTGTAGGCTCGGCTTTTTTGTTTCTTTGCAAAGTTAGGGAAAAGAATCTTGGTCGGAGAGTACGCACGGCAGGGCGAGAAAACCTCGCAACGAGACTGAGCAAAGACATTTTATAAACAAAAAATTGATGATGCCTTTATTGAAACGAGAAAAATACACGTAACAAAGTCATGGCAAAAAAAGGCGGTAAGGGCTATACAGTGGCTGCCAAAAGTTTTGCATCACACGAATAAAAAAATAAAAAATGCAATATTTTATGTTCCATATGTTATTTACATGTGAAGTCAAGGGTATTCAAAAAAGGAGAATCTTGATTTATCTTTAAACTCGATATAGATCACAATATATTATATTCATTATAATTTTGTATTTATTTCCTTCCTAAAGTGGTGATGCATTACTTTTGATCAATAATCTATAAACGTAAGACTATATAAAATATACAAATTTCATAACAAATCTTATTTTGTATGCTATATAAAAATTATACCTACGAATATAATCTTTCATTTTATTTT